TTGAGTTGGTCTGTGTGCTCAACAATCGCTGGGCCAAAGACCACGAAACCAACGCCCGGTACACAACCACACCTTTATATGTAAAGACACGACTGACCACTGTAAGAGAGACTGTTTAGACATTTCAAATGACCTCCCGTAGAGCCGACAGAGACCGACGGGGACCCAATTACCCTTCGCGAGCATCAATTGCTTACGACTAGCACCGCAAAACACACACACGCACACACAATGCGCGTGGCATTGTGCTTGTACTGTTCGCCTGTTTGGGGTTGTTCTCCGGTCTGACACTGGTGGTGGTGACACTCGGCCATCAAGAAGGCCGCCGCTGTGCCTGGCGTCCACCACGCGTGGCTCTTTAACCTACCACCACAGGGTTCAGACTCACCGTCTCGCCAGGTGCAACATCACTGTGGGGTTAGAAGGGGGTGCTTCCGATGATTTCTACTGCTGCAACATCACTGTGGGGGTAGAAGGGGGTGCTTCCGATGATTTCTACTGCTGCAACATCACTGTGGGGATAGAAGGGGTGCTTCCGATGATTTCTACTGCTGCGACATCACTGTGGGGTTATAAGGGGTGCTTCCGATGATTTCTACTGCTGCGACATCACTGTGGGGATAGAAGGGGGTGCTTCCGATGATTTCTACTGCTGCGACATCACTGTGGGGTTATAAGGGGTGCTTCCGATGATTTCTACTGCTGCGACATCACTGTGGGGATAGAAGGGGGTGCTTCCGATGATTTCTACTGCTGCAACATCACTGTGGGGTTAGAAGGAGGTGCTTCCGATGATTTCTACTGCTGCAACATCACTGTGGGGTTAGAAGGGGGTGCTTCCGATGATTTCTACTGCTGCAACATCACTGTGGGGTTAGAAGGGGTGCTTCCGATGATTTCTACTGCTGCGACATCACTGTGGGGATAGAAGGGGGTGCTTCCGATGATTTCTACTGCTGCAACATCACTGTGGGGATAGAAGGGGGTGCTTCCGATGATTTCTACTGCTGCGACATCACTGTGGGGTTATAAGGGGTGCTTCCGATGATTTCTACTGCTGCGACATCACTGTGGGGATAGAAGGGGGTGCTTCCGATGATTTCTACTGCTGCGACATCACTGTGGGGTTATAAGGGGTGCTTCCGATGATTTCTACTGCTGCGACATCACTGTGGGGATAGAAGGGGGTGCTTCCGATGATTTCTACTGCTGCAACATCACTGTGGGGTTAGAAGGAGGTGCTTCCGATGATTTCTACTGCTGCAACATCACTGTGGGGTTAGAAGGGGGTGCTTCCGATGATTTCTACTGCTGCAACATCACTGTGGGGTTAGAAGGGGGTGCTTCCGATGATTTCTACTGCTGCAACATCACTGTGGGGATAGAAGGGGGTGCTTCCGATGATTTCTACTGCTGCAACATCACTGTGGGGTTAGAAGGGGGTGCTTCCGATGATTTCTACTGCTGCGACATCACTGTGGGGTTATAAGGGGTGCTTCCGATGATTTCTACTGCTGCGACATCACTGTGGGGTTAGAAGGGGTGCTTCCGATGATTTCTACTGCTGCAACATCACTGTGGGGTTAGAAGGAGGTGCTTCCGATGATTTCTACTGCTGCAACATCACTGTGGGGTTAGAAGGGGGTGCTTCCGATGATTTCTACTGCTGCAACATCACTGTGGGGTTAGAAGGGGGTGCTTCCGATGATTTCTACTGCTGCAACATCACTGTGGGGTTAGAAGGGGGTGCTTCCGATGATTTCTACTGCTGCAACATCACTGTGGGGATAGAAGGGGGTGCTTCCGATGATTTCTACTGCTGCAACATCACTGTGGGGTTAGAAGGGGTGCTTCCGATGATTTCTACTGCTGCAACATTACTGTGGGGTTAGAAGGGGTGCTTCCGATGATTTCTACTGCTGCAACATCACTGTGGGGTTAGAAGGGGGTGCTTCCGATGATTTCTACTGCTGCAACATCACTGTGGATTTAGAAGGGGTGCTTCCGATGATTTCTACTGCTTCAACATCACTGTGGGGATAGGAGGGGGTGCTTCCGATGATTTCTACTGCTGCAACATTACTGTGGGGTTAGAAGGGGGTGCTTCCGATGATTTCCACTGCTGCAACATCACTGTGGGTTTAGAAGGGGTGCTTCCGATGATTTCTACTGCTGCAACATCACTGTGGGGTTAGAAGGGGTGCTTCCGATGATTTCTACTGCTTCAACATCACTGTGGGGATAGAAGGGGGTGCTTCCGATGATTTCTACTGCTGCAACATCACTGTGGGTTTAGAAGGGGTGCTTCCGATGATTTCTACTGCTGCAATATCACTGTGGGGATAGAAGGGGGTGCTTCCGATGATTTCTACCACTACAATATCACTGTGGGGCTATGTGGGGGGGGAGGGAGGGGATGCAGAGTAAATGAATGTGGAGGGGTGTTTAGACTCACCGTCTCACCAGGTGAGCCCGGAGATCCCGGCCAGCCTTCCTGACCCTGCATCAAACACGCAAACCAAGCTCACATTATTATACGGCGACAATAAGACAAAGATCCCACACACAGACACACACAGACACACCACACACACACACATAATTGCGCACATACACTCCAAACACACGCGCCCCACAGGGGAACTCTGCTCGCCAAATTGCAAGGTCATGTACACTCGGGTTTTTATTAATGTCAATCTTTGACACGTTGCCAAAGCGCGTCACACACGCACACGTGACCACGCGCACACACAGCAGTGTGTGTGTGCAGCAGTGGGTGTGCAGCGGTGTATGTGCGTGTGTGAGTGCAGTGGTGTGTGTGTGGTGCAGCAGTGTGTGTGTGTAGCGGTGTGTGTGTGTGCAGCAGTGTGTGTGTAGCGGTGTGTGTAGCGGTGTGTGTGTGTGTGTGTGTGCAGTAGTGTGTGTGTAGCGGTGTGTGTGTGTGCAACAGTGTGTGTGTGCAGCAGTGTGTCTGCAGCAGTGTGTGTGTAGCGGTGTGTGTAGCGGTGTGTGTGTGCAGTAGTGTGTGTGTAGCGGTGTGTGTGTGTGCAACAGTGTGTGTGTGCAGCAGTGTGTGTGTCTGCAGCAGTGTGTGTGTGTGTGTGTAGCGGTGTGTGTGTGTGTGCGTCTGCGTGCGATACAAGACAAAGTTCCCCCGTGTTAGTAACCTTGACAGACCACGCACACATACACACGTCACGTGTGCCCGTGTGGGCGCGCGTGACCTGTTTTGGCACGTGTGCTTCACACACACACGTGTTGTGTGCGTGTGTGCGTGCGATACAAGACAAAGATCCCCCGTGTAGCCTTAACAAACTGTAGGGGCAAGTGCTGTTCGCGAGCAGCGCCTATGAAGGCCGGCACGGCACACGAGGGGGTGGGTGGCCAGAACCACGCCCGGCCGCCTTTGTCTCCCTAATGACGATGTTTAATACACCCTGCACCAGGTACTCATTTGAGGCTGAGCCTACCTAGGGGAGGCCCAGGACCGGTTCAGATAATCGTCACTGGCGTTGGTGGCCGTGAGAAGGAAACGGATTCGGGTCGCCGGGTTCGTAGCGCAGCGTAGCGCTAACCGCTGCACCACCGCTCCCCGCCGGCACACACACACACATGCTGACGAAGACACACACACGCTGACGAAGACACACACACATGCTGACGAAGACACACACGCTGATGAAGACACACACACATGCTGACGAAGACACACACACACGCTGATGAAGACACACAGACACGCTGACGAAGACACACACACACGCTGATGAAGACACACACACATGCTGACGAAGACATACACACACACTGACGAAGACACACACACACACTGACGAAGACACACACACATGCTGACGACGACACACACACACGCTGACGAAGGCACACACACACACTGACGAAGACACACACACACATGCTGACGAAGACACACACACACTGACGAAGACACACACACACATGCTGACGAAGACACACACACACATGCTGACGAAGACACACACACACTGACGAAGACACACACAGACACGCTGACGAAGACACACACATGCTGACGAAGACACACAGACACACATGCTGACGAAGACACACACACACACACACTGACGACGACACACACACAGACACTGACGAAGACACACACACATGCTGACGAAGACACACACACACGCTGACGAAGACACACACACACATGCTGACGAAGACACACACACACGCTGACGAAGACACACAGACATATGCTGACGAAGACACACACACACTGACGAAGACACACACAGAACGCGTTCACTCTCTTTTTCTCAGAGCCAAACTCTTCCTGTCAAAAGGCGAACCCATACATCGACATTACATAAATCTGACTGTTGGGCCAGCTCTGTTCGCAAGCTTCTATTAAGGTTACCGGAGACCCGATAACATTATTGTAAGACGCCTTTCATTCATCCAGACAAGCCTTGCCAAGTCTCCGTTGACTCTTCCTCGGGAGGGTTATGCTGCTGTACACGAGGGGGGAGACACTCAGAGACACAGAGACACAGAGACAACCCAGCACCATGCTGCTGCTGTACACGAGAGGGGAGACACTCAGAGACACAGAGACACAGAGACAACCCAGCACCGTGCTGCTCCTGCACACGAGGGGGGAGACACTCAGAGACACAGAGACACAGAGACAACCCAGCACCGTGTTGCTGTACACGAGGGGGGAGACACTCAGAGACACAGAGACACAGAGACAACCCAGCACTGTGCTGCTGTACACGAGGGGGGAGACACTCAGAGACACAGAGACACAGAGACAACCCAGCACCATGCTGCTGCTGTACACGAGAGGGGAGACACTCAGAGACACAGAGACACAGAGACAACCCAGCACCATGTTGCTGCTGTACACGAGGGGGGAGACACTCAGAGACACAGAGACACAGAGACAACCCAGCACCGTGTTGCTGTACACGAGGGGGAGACACTCAGAGACACAGAGACACAGAGACAACCCAGCACTGTGCTGCTGCTGCTGCTGTACACGAGGGGGAGACACTCAGAGACACAGAGACACAGAGACAGAGACAACCGGTGGGGGAGACACTCAGAGACACAGAGACAACCGGTGGGGGAGACACAGCACTGCCGTTTCCTGGAAGCCACCTCACTGAAGCCCTCCTCCCCCACGCCTACAGCACCTGGCAAGCCCTGGTGGTCCCCCATCCGAGTACTGTACGAACCAAGCTCAAAGCTGCGCTTCTGAGATCAACTCAGGAGCGTCTTCCCTTCTCAAATCACGAATGGGGGCAGCACGCTCTTGGCAGTCCTGGGCCAGCGGTGGGAATTCCACGTTCTCATGGCAGGAACCAGACTAGCCACAGGGCAACGAGTGAGTACGCAGAGCGGCTCACAATCAGAAGGATGCGAGTTCAAATCCTGGTTCGGGGATTAAAGAGAGTTGGGGAGGTTCACTTAGCCCATCATCAACGTCATCACCATCCCTCCATCCGGGGGTCGATAAAATCAGTACGACTTTGTGGTGGAGTGAACAGTGTGGAGTGGGTTGTCTTATGGATAGACGCGCCCCCGCCACGGGAATGTGGAATTTCAATCACCGGCTCTGGAAACGGGGGATGAGCTCCAATGCCTCGTGAGAGCGACAGGAAATGACTCACTTGAATATTTATACATCGCCCTTAAGTGTTGAGTAAGCAGGAAAGAGTGCATTTGTACATTTCCAAATGGTACGTGTCACGAATTTTAAACATGTTGTGTGGACGTTTAATTTCTTACGCACCGTACGTAGCCAACCGTGCTAATCGGAGGTGCAGTGTTGAGTCTAAGGGCAGTGTTGAGTCTATGGGCAGTGTTGAGTCTATGGACAGTGTTGAGTCTACGGGTAGTTTTGAGTCTATGGGCAGTGTTAGTCTATGGGTAGTGTAGAGTCTATGGACAGTTTTGAGACTATGGGCAGTGTTGAGTCTATGAGCAGTGTTGAGTCTATGGGCAGTGTTGAGTCTGTGGGTAGTGTTGAGTCTATGGGTAGTGTTGAGTCTATGGGCAGTGTTGAGTCTGTGAGTAGTGTTGAGTCTATGGGTAGTGTTGAGTCTATGGGCAGTGTTGAGTCTATGGGCAGTGTTGATTCTATGGGCAGTGTTGAGTCTATGGGCAGTGTTGAGTCTATGGGTAGTGTTGAGTCGATGGGAAGTGTTGAGTCTATGGGCAGTGTTGAGTCTATGGGCAGTGTTGAGTCTGTGGGTAGTGTTGAGTCTATGGGTAGTGTTGAGTCTATGGGCAGTGTTGAGTCTGTGAGTAGTGTTGAGTCTATGGGTAGTGTTGAGTCTATGGGCAGTGTTGAGTCTATGGGCAGTGTTGATTCTATGGGCAGTGTTGAGTCTATGGGCAGTGTTGAGTCTATGGGTAGTGTTGAGTCGATGGGAAGTGTTGAGTCGATGGGAAGTGTTGAGTCTATGGGCAGTGTTGAGTCTATGGGTAGTGCTGAGTCTATGGGTAGTGTTAGTCTATGGGTAGTGTTAGTCTATCGGCATTATGTACTGTATCAATGCAGAACTCTTTCGCACCCTACGTAGCCACCATCCGTGCTAATCAGAGGTGCGGGAGAAGGACAACAAACTAAACACAACAAAAAGCAGTTCTAAACAAATGAGTTTTCAATCGAGATGATGACTTTACAATAGTTTCAGTGGATTCCGAAAATTCGGAAAGGAAGAACGTTCCAGACGGCCGCAGAAGCGCAGCCAAAAGCCGCTGCTGCTGCCGCTGCCGCTGCGAGGATGAGCGGAGATCGCGTGATCATGGTTTATTATTACATTGACGAGATCAGCAGCGAGGTATCGTGAGGTTCATTTCTGGCGAGCACTTTGTGTGTGTGTGTGTAACATTTTGTGTGTGTGTAACATTGTGTGTGTGTAACATTGTGTGTGTGTAACATTGTGTGTGTGTGCAACATTGTGTGTGTGTAACATTGTGTGCGTGTAACATTGTGTGTGTAACATTGTGTGTGTGTGTAACATTGTGTGTGTGTAACATTGTGTGTGTGTAACATTGTGTGTGTGTGTAATATTGTGTGTGTGTAACATTGTGTGTGTGCAACGTTGTGTGTGTGTGTGCAACGTTGTGTGTGTAACATTGTGTGTGTAACATTGTGTGTGTGTGTAACATTGTGTGTGTGTAACATTTTGTGTGTGTAACATTGTGTGTGTGCAACGTTGTGTGTGTGTGCAACATTGTGTGTGTGTGTGTAACATTGTGTGTGTGTAACATTGTGTGTGTGCAACATTGTGTGTGTAACATTGTGTGTGTAACATTGTGTGTGTGTGTAACGTTGTGTGTGTGTGTAACATTGTGTGTGTGTGACATTGTGTGTGTGCAACATTGTGTGTGTAACATTGTGTGTGTGTAACATTGTGTGTGTGTAACATTGTGTGTGTGTCTAACGTTGTGTGTGTGTGTGTGTGTAACATTGTGTGTGTGTGTGTAATATTGTGTGTGTGC